CCTCCCTCTATTTCTGTTTTTCCCTCTCTCTCTGTCATTCTGCCTTTCAAATAATTTTTCTTTAATTTTAAAAAATAAAGTTCAAGGGCTGGTGTCGTGGTGTAGTGGGCTAAGCTGTCACTTGCAATGCCAATATGCCTTACAAGAGTGTCAGTTCGAATCCCGGCTGCTCCACTTCTGATCCAGCTCACTGCTGATGCACCTGAGAAAGTAGTGGAATATGGCCCAAGTGCTTGGGCCCCTGCCACCCAAATGAGAGACCTAGATGGAGTTCTAGGCTCCTGGCTTTGGCCCGGACCAACCCTGGTCATTGCAGCCATTTGGGGAGTGAACCAGTGGATAGAAGATCTTTCTCTATTACTCTGCCTTTCAAATTAAATAAATAAATCTTTAAAAAAATCATAAAGTTCAGATGACCTGGCAGCTACCCCTTCTCCCTCCAAAGTGACCAAGGAGGCCTCAGGTTGAGAAGGCAGAGCCACAGGAGTGGAGCAGTCTGGAATTGCTTCATGGAATCTGGTTGTCCTGGAGACAATGGACTTTGTGAGAAATAAGTAACTCTTTAATGTATTAAGCCACTGAGGCTTTGGGGATTGTTACTGCTGTGCAGTCTGGCTAAACCAAATGCAAACGTCCGAGGTGGGTGTCTAGCAGAGTGGTTAAGATTTGTGTGTCCCACGTCAGAGTACAGGGTTCGGTTGCCAGCTCAGGCCCTGGACTCCAGCTTCCTGCCAGTGTAGACCTTGAGAGGCTGTGGTGTTGGCTCCAGTAATTGAGCTCTTGCCACCCACGTGGGAGACCTGGGTTGCATTCCTGGCTCGTGGCTACAGCCTGCCCCAGTCCCAGCCATTATAGGCATTTGGGGAGTGAAACAGTGAATACGAGTACTCTCTCCCCCCTCAAATAAATAAAAGTTTCAAAGAAATTTCTTCTAATAGTAACTTCAGCAAATACTATATAAAACTGATAAGAATATCCATGTTGGCATATTCTTTATAATTATGGAAATAATTATCAAAGAATAGCTAAATGTATTAAAAGTGGTTACCTCTCAGGAGCGGGACAGAGAAAGTGTGGGCTGAGGTGCAGCTGTGTTCACTAAAGTGCTGTATGGGATGGGAGTTACGGCACAGCAGGTTAAGCCTCTGCATCCCATATCAGAGTGCCTGGCTACTCTGCTTCCAATCTAACTCACTACTAATGCATACCCTGGGAGGCAGCAGATGATGGCCCAAGTACTTGGGCTTCTGCCACCCATGTGGGAGAACTCCATGGAGTTCCTGACTCCTGGCTTTGGCTGGGTCCAGCTCCAGCCATTGTGACAATTTGGGGAGTGAACCAGGAGATGAAAGATCTCTCTCACCCTCTTTCTCTGTCACTTTGCCTTTCAAATAAACAAACTTCAAAACAAATCCTGCTACTTGGCTTTCCACTCTGCTACTGTATTGTGATGGCAGAAATGAATAAGAAGTGATATTCACAGATGTGATACGGGAGACTCTCCTCCAACCTGTCCCAGTGGCTGTCTCTGGGGAGAGAGGACACAGTGGACAGAGTGTTTGGGGGAACTACAGATGTGACCGGACCTGGGCCACCCTAGGAAGGGAGGTGACCTGGGTAGGATCCAGTCCGGGGACTTTGGTTTTTCTCTTGATGGCCACGGGGAGCTGGGAGGGTACAGGATAAGCAGCAGAGAATCCTGGGCAAATCTGCCTTGATGGTGCACATCCTGACTTAGCTGGGGAGACAGGCTGCTGCAGCGAGCAGTCAGGAGCTGTTGCAGTGGTCCCAGGGACAGCCAAGGAACCTTGGAAGTGACCTGCAGGTGACGTGTGTCTGTGGGGAGCCTTCTGTTTGTACTGTGGGCTCAGTGATGCAACAGAGAACAGATGGGCAGAGTCTTTAGCTTCCAGGGAGCTTCCATAGGCAAGAGACAAATGGGCGGCAAGAAGCTAAGAGCAGATCAGGTAGGGGCTGGTGTCATAACAGGAATAAAGCCACGTCAGGGGCCGGACAGAGGAAATGGGGAGAGGGTACTTTAGAGAAGAGGTCAGGGAGGGCCTCTCTGAGGAGGTGGCCTCTGAATAGAGTCCTGAATTAAGCGAAGGGGCAGACCATGTAAAATTTGAGAGCGAGAGTTTCTGGGCACAGGGAGCAGCAGATGCAGAGGCTCTGCGGAGGGGGTGGGCTTGACAGGCCAAGGAACAGCAAAGAGGCCAGCGTGGGGCAGGGCTCATCAGCTGCTGGGGGGGGGGGGGGGGCCGGGGTCGGGGGCTGAGGCTCCAGAGAGGACCGGGGAGAGGGGGCTACCGGGGAGCGCAGAGGGAACTTTGGGCTGAGAGCAGGAAAGCCCTGCGTGGTGATTGGTCTCCAGGCCGGAGAAAGGAGGACGGGAGGAGGCTGCGGGACAGGGCTTGGCTGTGGGGGTGAGAGGGAGAGGAGGGGGCTCCCCGGCCCGCCTGGCCCAGCCACAGCAGCCTTATCACCCACTTCCCAGCACCCCAGCCCCCTCTTGGGATAGAAGGAGCCTTCACACATCAAAATAGCAGGCAAAGAACAGCCTCTAATTGTTCTGCGTAAGAGCGGAGAAATTAGACGAGTCAGCTGCGGGGCTGGGCCCGCCTCCCACACAGCTGCGATCCCGCAGATCCCGCACCGCCACCGCAGACAGACTTCCCTGCTGCTGCCTCCGAGTAGAACTTCCGCAGCGTCCAGCCCCAGAACAAATGGTGGCTATTTCGGGAGGCAGTGGGACAGATGCTGGCCCTGGCGGACAATGAATGAATCAATTTTTTTAAACAAACAAAAAAGTCGATCACTTCATGAAGGCCTAAGCTTAGAGGATGGATTGGTTCCATCATGCAAAAACACTCTGTGAGTATCGCTTCTTACAAAATTAGTTTCTGCCAACACAATACAGTAGCAGAGTAGAAAGTCAGATAGCAGGTTTTGTTTTGTTTTATTTGAAAGTTCACTTATTTGAAAGGCAAAGTGACAGAGAAAGAGGGTGAGAGAGATCATTCATCTCCTGGTTCACTCCCCAAATTGTCACAATGGCTGGAGCTGGACCCGGCCAAAGCCAGGAGTCGGAACTCCATGGAGTTCTCCCATATGGGTGGCAGAAGCTCAAGTACTTGGGCCATCATCTGCTGCCTCCCAGGGCATGCATTATCAGTGGGTTAGATGGAAGCAGAGTAGCAGGCACTCTGATATGGGATGCAGGCATCTCAAGCAGAGGCTTAACCTGCTGTGCCGTAGCATCCACCCACCCCCATCCCCAGAGCAGGGCTTGGGATTGGAGGATTCTGAAGGAGTGGAGGTGGCACCACCTTCGGGGCAGAATGGAGAAAGGCCCTCGGATGGCAGAAGGTCTAAGTTCTCCCCTGAGCTCTGCAGCTGTTGCTGTGTGACCTAGGATGAGTTGTGCCAGCTCTCTGGGTTGTATTTTCCCTTCTCCCCCCACCCCTCCCACTACTGGCTTTAGGCTATACAGAGATTCCCCAACTGTGGAATTCATAAGATCCCTTGGGGGAGGGTGCTTGTTAAAGATGAAGATTCCCAGGCCCTACTTCCAGAGATTAAGATTTGGCAAGGGGGCAGGTGAGTGGTGCGATGGCACAGTTGCCACTTGGGAGGCCTGCATTACATACCCGAGTGCCTGATTTGAGTTTTGAGTCCTGGCCACTCTGCCTTCTATCCAGCGTCCTATTAACGCACATCCTCAGAGACTGCGGGTGACGGCCCAATTACATGGGTCTCTGCCACTTACGTGGGAGATCCGGGTAGAGTTCCCGGCTCCTGGCCTCAGCCTGGCCCATTCCTGGCTATTGTGGGCATCTGGGGAGTAAAGCAGTAGATGCAAGATCTCTCCCCATCTATCTCTCTGTCTCTCTCTGCCCTTCAAAGCAAATGAAAATAAATACTTAAAAATTAAAAGCAAAGATTTAGCTGATCAAGGTGGGGTGCTCCAGGCGTCTGCTTCTCATAGACTCTTCCTGTAATTCTGAAGAAGTCCTGGGACCATACTTTAATAAAAGCACTTCCCCTCAACCTCTTGGGGCTCTTCCTGCCCAGAAGTGTGAGGAGTCACTCACACCACCTTCTGGGCTTATGAGATCATCCCAGAGGCATGGAGGAAGCCTGTATCCCACCTCAGTGCACCTGTGTCTTGCTGCTGCATCGTCTGCTTCCATGTTCGCCATCCCCTCCAGGCCCTGCTACAGTATCACTGCAGAGCATGGCCAGGATGAGGAGCCAGCTGCAGTGTAGACAGCTGGGTGGCAGCATAGAGGTTGGAGAGGTGTGGGGACTGTTGGGTGCAGCGCTTGGTTGCAGACACCTGGGCTCCTGTCCTGGGCTGGATGTATGACGCTGTAGCCTGCTCCCCTTACCCATGTCACTGTGGGTGGGGATGGGATGCAGCATGGCTTCTGCAGAGAAGTGAGTCCAGCTGCATGGGGATAGCGAGGCCCGGATGGGGCCCCAGGAAGGGATGGGGCCTTAACAAGAGGACATCCCAGCCAGTGTCCAGGGCACTGTCTCTTCCTTGGGGCTGGTCTTGCACATACTCCAAAGGCCAAGTCCGTGGCAGAAGCTAGAGGGTCTAGCCCCCAGATTTGTTCTTCACATATGAAGAAAAGAACATTTATTCTGCCCTGGGTGCTTACCGTGCAGGGCTCAGATCTCAGGGCTCTGTCCTCTCACTACATTTTCCCAACCCTCCTGAGAAGCTGGTTCAGGTATCACCATTTTGTCTTTAACCATATTGCTTAGTGCCTTTCAGAAGATAAGGATTTTTCCTAAAATACCTTCAGTTGACGTCACAGCCAGAGAAATCGGTTGTAGTGGGAAGGCGTGATGTTGAATCAGATAGTTCCTTGTTCTAGCTCCCTCTGCTCTTGACCTTCTGTGTGACCTTGAACATCACTTCCTCTCCCTGAGTTTCACGTGACCCTGAATTCTGTGACATAAGATCAATTATGCATGCACTCCCTTCTAAGGTACACGAAGATGAAGACGGCCACCAACATCTACATCTTCAACCTGGCGTTGGCCGACGCTCTGGCCACCAGCACACTGCCTTTCCAGAGCGCCAAGTACCTGATGGAGACATGGCCCTTCGGGGAGCTGCTCTGCAAGGCTGTGCTCGCCATTGACTACTACAATATGTTCACCAGTATCTTCACTCTCACCATGATGAGCGTCGACCGCTACATCGCCGTCTGCCACCCCGTCAAGGCCCTGGACTTCCGCACGCCTGCCAAGGCCAAGCTGATCAACATCTGCATCTGGGTGTTGGCCTCAGGTGTTGGTGTACCCATCATGGTCATGGCTGTGACCCGTCCTCGGGGTAAGTGATAGAACTGTGGCACAGTCACTGACCACAGGAGGCAGCACGTGGACCTCTGTGGGTCTGTGGGACTTTTCCAGGGTGAGGATCAGTGGCCGTGGGAATTTATGAATGGATTGTGGATCAGTGAAAGTGTGGTACTGGTCAGTGGCAGAGTGGAAAGTCAACCAGTGGAAATGGGAATGGTTGGCCAATGGTGAATGGTTGACTACTGGGCGGGTGAGTGAGTGCTCAGTGATCATGGGAATTTGTGAATGGGATTATGAATAGCTGGTCCATGTGCATGTAGGTGGGTGGCCAGGAATGTGTGGGCCACTGACCTATAAGGAGATGGATGGATAGCCAGCAGGGTTACTGTCACTGACCGGTGGACACCACAGGATGTGGTGCCAAACTTTCACTGCAGTTTTAAAGCCATTCACCCAGGGGCTGGGGGTGTGCTGCAGTGGGTTAACTCGCTGCTTGTGACATCAGCATCCCTTATGGGTGCCAGTTTGAGTCTTGGCTGCTCCACTTCTGATCCAGCTCCTTGTTAATACACTTAGGAAGGCAGCAGAAGATGGCCCAAGTGCTTGTGCCCCTGCCACCCACGTGGGAGACCCGGGTGTAATTCCTGGCTCCTGGCTTTGGCCTGGCCCAGCCCTAGCTGTTGTGGCGATTTTGGGAGTGAACCAGCGGATGGAGATCTATCTCTCCCTCTCTGTCACTCTGCCTTTCAAATAAATAAATAAATCTTTCCAAAAAAATTAATAAAGTCGTTGTCCCAGGTGATCAAAGCAAGGCCTAAAGAAGGCCTGGAGAGGATGACAGCCTCGTGCTTCTCCTCAGTGCAAAGCAGTGTCAACAGAGTTCACCACAGTAGGGGAGCTGCTGCTGCAACAAGCCCAGGCTCCAGGGCTTACCCCTTGCTTGCTTTATTTCTCATTCGCATCACAATCCAGTATCTGAGGAGCAAGTCCTTCAGGGACCCAAGCTCCCTCTGATAGTCTCTGAATTTTCCACTGCTGGTGTCTGGCTGGCAAGGTCAATGTGGAAAGGGGAGGGGGGCAAAGCACAATCAAGCACTTTAGAATGGTGTTGTCCACCCCTCCTGGACATAGCTGTCCCCTGGCCCCATGTTGATGGAAGGAAGTGGGAAACATAGTCTAGAAGGGTGCCAAAGACACGAGGAACTAACTGACCTCTCTGAGCCACACTGCATCATGGCATCATGGAGCGTGGAGAAGGTTAAATAAGGTCATAGGTGCAAAACACAAGGCTTAGCTCATTGCCAAGGTCCTAGAAATAGCAGCCATCAAATGATTAAGCCTGTGAGACAGACAAGGCAGGGACTCCAACTCCATTTGACTGTAAGAAAACAATCAGAGAGGCCAGGTGGTTTACTTAGGGCCACACAGCCAGGTATTTGGTGACCGTTGGCCTGTCCTCTGAGGTTCCTGCTTCCAGGTCTGCTGTTCCTTTTGGCCCCTTGAGTGGAGGCGGGCAGAAGATTGGCACCATGCATGGGAGAGGAGCGCAGTCCTGTGGGAAGCTTCTTGGTCACCCTTGACTCTCACAAGGGCAGAGCCCCCGGTGCCCTATACAGCTGCTGAGCAACTGGCTTTGACTCAGCAGAAAGGCCGGCTGCTCATCAGCCTTCTGCTTACAGGTCATTAACTGCAGCCCTGCTGGGGGCTGGACCAGATGGGCCTCCTCGGCCTGCGCGTGCACGCGCGCACACACACACACACACGCACCTCCAGGGCGAGCCATCAGCACTTGTTGGCTCAGTGGGCCACTTGCTGTATGACCTTAAGCAAGTGCTCTTCCCCTCTGGGTCTGTTTTTCCACCTGTACAATGAAGGGCTTGGATTCGGCCACCCCTGGGGGTCCTGCCAGCCTGCGGTCCTGTAGAGCTACTTGGTCTATGGGTCCCCAGTCACCTTCTAAAAATTCTCGGGCTTCAAGTCCATGGTGGGGATCTGCCACTCCTTGCATTCTGGGAGATCTTGGGAGTCCCCTGGGCCAGTTCAGGCCTGGGTCAGAATCCCACAGCCCCCACCGCAAAAGAGTGAGCTCAAGCCATCCAGGGCAGGTCTGGCTGTGGGAATTTTCTTCCTGATGCTGCACTGAGATCTGCCGCCCTCCTGGGAGGTGCCTTCGCCCTGGCCTCTGGATTCTGGCCCTCTCCCCTGAGTGTGTCCAGAGCTTGAAGCCCACCATGCTCAGTGCTTTATGGCTTATCCCTCTTGATCTTCACAGTGATGAGATGTGGGTACTATTAAAAGTCCCATTTCGGGGCCGGCTCTGTAGTATAGTGGGCTAAGCCTCCGCCTGCAGTGCTGGCATCCCATATGGGCACCAGTTCTAATCTCAACTGCTCCACTTCTGATCCAACTCTTGCTATGGCCTGTGAAAGCAGTAGAAGATGGCCCAAGTGCTTGGGCCCCTGCACCCTTGTGGCAGACCTGGAAGAAGCTCCTGGCTCCTAGTTTGGATCAGCCCAGCTCTGGCTGTTGCAACCATTTGGGAGTGAACCAGCAGATGGAAGATCTTTCTGTCTGTAAATTAAAAAAAAAAAAAAAAAAAAGTCCCACTTTGCCAATGCTCCAAGAGCTTAAGTAATCTGTCCAAGGTCACACCATACACTTAGTAGGGCCTGAGTCATGCTTTTTAATTTAATTTTTAATTTTCATTTTATTTGAAAGGCAGACACACACACACACAGAGAACTTCTATCTGCTGATTCACTTCCTAAATGCCCACAATAGCCAGGTGTGGATCAGGAACACAGAACTCAGTCCAGGTCTCCCACATGAGTGGCAAGGACCCAAGTACTTGGGCCATCACCTGCTGCCTCCCAGGGTTAGCATTAGCAGGAAGCTGGATGGGAAACAGAGTACCTGGGACTCCCATCAGGCATTGTGATAGGGGTGTGTGTGTCCTAAGCCAACTTAATAGCAGTGCCATCAGCCAGCCCTGAGCCCTGCCCTTAACTGTCCATCTGAGCCCTACTGTCCCCGTTAGACCTAGTTCAGAAGTGAGGCGGGAGTTGGCTTCGAGTTATCACAATGGCTGGCACATGGTGGGCTGGGCTAAATGATTTCATTCCTGCCACCCATGGACCCAGAGGCTGTAGAGTCGGGGGGCGGGGCAGGTGGAAGGAGACTTCCCGAGGAGAGCGGGTCCTGCTGGGGTCTTCAAGGATGAATGGGAGTTCACCAAGCAGAGAAGAATCACCTTGAGCAAAGGCTGGGGGCAGGGGGCAGCTCCTGGCCCAGGCCGGAAGGGGGCGAGCAGGCAGGGCCCCCTCAGGCACACGTGTCCCTCACCCCTCTCTGTCTTCCCTTGTTTCTCGGCCCAGACGGGGCGGTGGTGTGCATGCTCCAGTTCCCCAGCCCCAGCTGGTACTGGGACACGGTGACCAAGATCTGCGTGTTCCTCTTCGCCTTCGTGGTGCCCATCCTCGTCATCACCGTGTGCTACGGCCTCATGCTGCTGCGCCTGCGCAGCGTGCGCCTGCTGTCGGGCTCCAAGGAGAAGGACCGCGGGCTGCGGCGCATCACGCGCATGGTGCTGGTGGTGGTGGGCGCCTTCGTGGTGTGCTGGGCGCCCATCCACATCTTCGTCATCGTCTGGACGCTGGTGGACATCGACCGGCGCGACCCGCTCGTCGTGGCCGCGCTGCACCTGTGCATCGCGCTCGGCTACGCCAACAGCAGCCTCAACCCCGTGCTCTACGCCTTCCTCGACGAGAACTTCAAGCGCTGCTTCCGCCAGCTCTGCCGCGCGCCCTGCGGCCGCTCCGAGCCCGGCGGCTTCAGCCGCGGGCGCGAGGCCACTGCCCGCGAGCGCGTCACCGCCTGCACCCCGTCCGACGGCCCAGGCGTTGGGGGCGCGGCCGCCTGAGCCGACCGCCCCGATGCCCCCGTGCGGGGTCTGGAAGAGGGGCGGGGCGGTGGGAGGGGCCTCCGGGGACGGGCGGGGCGGAGGGCGGGGTCTCTAAGCTGATGGAGACTTCGGGGCGTGGGATGTGAGGCTCTAGAATCAGGCCCCCAAATAAGGGCTCTCCACGGGAGCGGAGAGTTGGAGTCCGGCCTGGGACCTCAGGGTGGGTGGGGACCGAGGTGGGGGCGGTGGCTTGATTGAGTTGCAAGCTTGGACTTGAGCAGGACAGGGGATGGAGTAGGGATGGGACAGGACAGTCACGCCTGGCTCAAGATCTGGGGAGCTAGATGGGGGCCTGTGTGCTGTGGATGCGGCTTCAACTCTCCTGCCTTGGGGGTGGAGGCCTGCCGCCAGTCCCAGCAAGGGGCGGGACTCACAGGGGTCTAGCCGCAACTTGACATCTTTATGCATAGAGAATAGGAGAGAAACGATCCACCTTTCTCTCTTTGGCAGTCCACTGTTCCTTTGGAGCAGACAGGGCTGCCTCAGCACCGTGTCGCCAGCACCTGGTCTTGGTGGGGAGTGACACAGGATAGTGGCGCCAGGGGCCAGCCCCTCCAGAAGAGGGTAGTGGGGTAGGGTCCCCAGATCCAAGTTCTAACCAGGGCCCAGTGGCTCTGGAAGGAGCAAGAAGGTCCTCTAAGACCCCAACCACCAGTGGCCCTCTGTGCCACCTGGTGATGGCGGGTGGACTGAGAGAGTGGCTAGCTACTACTGTTAAGGGTGGCTACTTTTGAGGGTCCCCAGAGCCCTGGTGTCTCTGGCCCAGGTGCTGGAGGACAGAGGACCACCTAGTTAGAGCCCCATGGATGGTTAAGTGGCACCGGGATGGATGGGAGGGTGTCAGAAGCCCCCAGTGCCATGTGCTGCCTGGTCTGGGCCCCTGGTGAGAAACTTGAAAAAGTCATCCTCCCTTCTCCCAGTGTCTGGCTGCACCCCACGTGTGTCCAGGGAGCTGGAGCTGCCCTGCAGGCCCTGAACTTGAAAGAGGTATAGGGGGGGCTTTCAGAACTGCAGAGCCAGCGTTTGCTCCATCCCCCTCCCCTGCCAGGGCTTCTACCTGCTCCTGCCCAGCCCCCCACCCCCACCCCACCAAGCTGCTGAGGGCAGTGTCCACCCAGAGCTGGGCATAGGAGCCTTTCTCTTCCTATGTTAGCATTTTATCCAGGCTCTCCCAGATCTTGGCTTCCCCCAGGACCGGGGTCTGCCCTAGCCCCGTGCCACCCCCATGCCCCATCTCTCCCTCCACCCCAGACGCTGCCTCAGCCCTGCTTCCCTCACTCCCCATGGAAGCAGTGCGCTGACATCCTTGTAAAAACAAATTTAATTTCTTCCCTTTTTGGGACAGATGGAAAGAAATTGACGTCTTTTTTTCTCAAACAAAAGAAGAAAGACACAATATACCTCTTTTCCCTCTGACAGCCATTTCTCCAGAACAAAAGCTGGGAGGCTGTCACTCTAGGCTGAACTAGCATGGTGGGGGGTGGGGGTGCTTAGGCACCACGATGGTCTTTGGGCGCATTACGGGGAGGGATGCCCTCCATGAGCCAAGCACAGCACCCACTCAAGGTGACACCCCAGAGGCCCCAGGCCTGGGGATGTTCCCCCTGGGGCCTGGAGAGGTGGCAGGGAAGTGGCCAGCGCTCACACCCACCCGCAACTGTGACCCAGAGGGACCCTGCGACCATGAGGGTCAACAAGGCCAGGACACTCCTCATCTGGGCCTCCTGCTGCTAATGCTTCCGGACAATGGCAGGGAAAGGGCACATTTTAGGAAGCAGGGAAGGCGCTGCAGGCGGTGACCGCGGGGCCAGGGCTGTTTATTCTTGCAAGGACCGTGTCCTCTCTGGTCCTCCTCAGGACAGACCTGTCTCAAGGCTGCTGCGGGCCTGCTCACTGCCGTCTCCCGGGGCCAGAACAGATCAGGCAGAGTTTTACCCCTGGTGTTCTATAGATTTTCTTTCTGTCTGACGTGCTGGTTTGTCCACCCAGCAGGGGCTGGATCCAGACCACGTGCGCTGGTTGTGTTGAAATCAGCTTCATGCCAGGCGGTGCACACTGGGCCTGGGGCTCGGAGCTGAGTCAGACGCGGGCCTGCCCGGAGACAGACAGATGACTGCCTCTGGGCGTGATCAGCAGTGACAGGGAGCCAGGGGCGTCCCTCAGGATGTGCCTTTTCCAGCATTTTACTTAAACACACGGGGTAGCAATTCTGTAAGAGGTGGGACAAGGTCAGGGGCCTCAAAGGAAGCGTAGCAGTTGACCACCAGGAAGAGAGAACAGTGCAGCAGCACAGGGATGTTTAAGCGCTTGGCGAGCCTGAGACGTGGGTGCAGGTGCAGCCTGGGGCTTAACCCAGCACTCCTGTGCGTCCCACCTGCTGCCCAGTGCCTTATGCGCATCATTGCAGCGGGTCCTCACCACCGCCCTGTGGACGCCACAGTGGCATCCCCATTTTCAACAAGAAGGATGAGGCTCACAGAGGTCAAGCCCCTTGCCTCTGGGTCACAGAGCCTGTCAAGAGCAGTAGAAGTGAGGTTAGGGGAGTTCCAGGACAATTCCAAAGTCCACATTTTCAGTGAATTCCAGGCATCCTTAAAGTAGTGGTAGTGGGCACCCTGGCAGGAGGTTTTTAAAAGACTGAAATGGAAAAATCCGAAGGGAAAGGGCAATTTTCCATGAACTTTTGCTCCTCCTGGAGCTCCAAACCTTCAGATTTCAGAATGCACTGTGCACGATGCATTGGGAGCTGCACATTGACAGTGCAATTCGAGATCGTCACAGGGCTCTCAGCACTGCAGAGCAGTCTGTTTCCCCCCAGTTTCCATTTCTCTCTCTCCAGGAGGTGGGAGGGAGGTTTCTGCCTCTGGTTTAAGAAGTCCTACAGGCTCGTAGCTCTTCTTGGTGTCTGGGAAGCAGTGCTTAAGGCTGGCATCAGGTCTCGCTTTCCTTCCCTCAGCCTCAGTTTCCCCATCTGTTGAGTGGGCCACCTGCCTGGGGTGGCTGGGAGCATTGAATGAAGTGATGCCTCTGCTCCTGCAGCGCCCACACAGGAAGCCCTTGGCTTGTGCTAAGTGGCTGCTACTCAAAGTGGAGCAGGAGTGCAAGGTCAGAGCTGGAGGGAGAGGGGAGGAGCAGCGGGGAAGAGAGAACCTGGGGAGGCAGCCGGGGATGCCCCTGCTTGCTGTGCTCTGGAGCCACCGCGGAGAGGGAGAAGCTGCCGGAGAAGTGGGAGAAGGACGGGGAGACAGTGTTGCCATGGAGATGAGGAGGAGGGCGTTCCCAGGGGGAGGGTGTGATGGAGGATGTCAAGTGTCATAGAGAAGGTGGGGGTGGGGAGGGCAAAAGGGTGATGGGAGTAAGCCAGTTTCAAGCTCAGTCTCCTCCGTGGCCTGGAAAGCAGCTCGCGCTGGGTTCAGATCTCAGCTCTGACACTAACTGGCGAGGGATGGCCCACTCTGAGCTTTGGGGTCCTCCCAGATCTAAGGGCTGGGCTGGCCGCTAGTAAGAACCCTGCTTTGCTGGATTCTTGGCCTCTTGCCAGCAGTGTGATGGGAGACAAAGCACTTCACCTTCAGGAGCGCCCCCTAAAGCTGACCCGTTGCAAGTGAAGTGGTGGCACCTGGGAGGCCCTCATGCCAGGGTCACTCTCAGCACCGTGGGTGCCGGAGGCAGCTGCCTGCGGAGGCTTGCTTGGCTTGGAATTTGAAACTCCTTAAAATGAAGAGGGGCCCTGGCCTCCTGGGAGTGCTTGGAGGAGCAGAAGTGTGGGCCAGGCGCCTGCTGGGGCTTAGCCAAAGACCTGTGACAGATCCTTAGCCCAGGCCCGGCTCATGCACCAACACAGACGCTCACCTCTCTCACCTCTCGTTATCATCAGTCCTTTCATTTCATGTCCGGGCGCTGAGCACAGGGTGCTGGGAGCTGGCGGGCCGACAGAGAGAGGCTCCATCCATTCCTCTGCAGCGGGTGTGCAGGTGCTCAGAGTGGACACTGGGCCAGCTGGCTGGGTGGCGCCGCTGTGGGTGGTGCAGGCATTCAAATGAGGCTGGGGGGGGGGGCTTCAACAGAGACATGGTGCTGAGGGGCGGTGTGGCCCTGGGAGGCGGTCCAGGTTTGAGCCCCAGTGCCAACACCAGAGGTGAGCTCTCCGCCCCCTGCAACACACGCGGCGCCCAGCCACTGGCAGAGTGCCCAGCGAGCGGCCGCTGTAACTTTAGAGCGGTGGTAGATGGCGCTTCCCTGTGCCCAGCTCCGTGGAGTAACCTTCCCGGCATGACTGGCGGAGGCATTATTATTACTACCCTCTTTTTACAGGTGAGGAAACTGAGGCTCAGGGAAAGGAGCAACGTGCCCGAGCCCCATGGGTTGGCAGTGATGACCAAGCTAGGATCTCATCGTAGGTCTGTCAAGTCCAAGTTCACTTCCTCCTCCTTCCATGTGGAAGCACTCTGGTTACACAAAGATGCCCAGGTGCAGCTCACAGCCACGGAGCGAGCGTTCCCTGTGCCAGGTGCCATCCTTGTCAGCTGCCCGCGAATCTGCTGTGAGCTTGGCAGGTTTCTCACCTGTCCACTCTCCCTGGAAAGCCTTCGTGTTCTGTAATTGTTTCCGCTGCCTCTCAGGTCTCTGTTGTGTGACCCTGGGTGAGATATTGCACCGTCTGCGTCCGTTTCCTCAGCATGGGTGGAGGACCTTGTCTGTTGTGGTCACCGAGGCATTTGCAACAGATGCCAACGGGCACACCGTGGTCCTTCCTCCACGTGGCTGAACAATGTGCCTGTCGCTGAGTGAGGGCTTGGTACATGGAGCTTTTTAAATGTGATCTAATGTTTTGGGCTCTACCTGCTCCAACCATGGTTTTTAGTGCTGTAGAAGGGCCAGGAGCAAAGGGCTTTCTCTCTTGACCATGTCCCTGGGTCTCAGAGGGGACTGTGGGCACTGGAGAAGCAAACCGCAGTTCTTTGTACTCTTCTGTCCTCAGCAGAGCGGCCCACCCGGGACAGAGCGGGGGCAGCCTGGAAGAGGAGCAAAGGTCCCCAGGGGCGCCGGCCTGGGTGTTTTGGTCTGAACGCTAGAACCACGGGAATGGAATCCCTTAGTGGGTGTCAATGCAGGTGACATGCATTTGATGGGACTCGTTGTCTAGAATCTTCTCTTGGGGGGCCTGCCACTGCAGCATAGTAGGTTAAGCTTCTGCCTGGGGTGCTGGCATCCCATATGGGCACTGGTTCTTGTCCTGGCTGCTCCACTTCTGATCCAGCTCTCTGCTATGGCCTGGGAAAGCAGTAGAAGATGGCCCAAGTCCTTGGGCCCCTGCACCCGCACGGGAGACCCGGAAGGAGCTCCTGGCTCCTGGCCTTGGATCGGCGCAGCTCTGGTCGTTGGTCGTTGTGATCATTTGGAGGTGAAACAGCAGATGGAAGACCTCTCTCTCTCTCTCTCTCTCTCACTCTGTGTCTCAAATAAATAAATCTTTATTAAAAAAAAAAAAAAGGAATCTTCTGTTGAAGTGAATCCCGGGACAGGACACAGAGGACGCAGTCTAGACTCTGCTTCCTTGCCGTCGGCTTGGACTGAACGAGGCTGGCGCATGTCAGAGACTTGACGCGGACACCTGCTTTTCGCCTGGGCACTGAAGACCCAAGCTTGGATTCTTCCAATAAAGAGTACACTGTTGACCTCTGCGTCTCCAGCTGTTTTGTCGACTCCCCTTCCCTGGCCCCCATGCAAGGGGGCGCCCAGTCGGGGTGGTGGTGGTGGTGGACCTGCCCACTCCCACCTGTGGGGAGGCAGCCCTACCTTCAGCACCTTCTCAGAGAGTGATGCGGCATTGTCCTTAGACCCTGCCTTCCCCCTCTCCGCCCGCCCCAGCCTGGTGGGGGAAACAAGCACGAAGCTGTGTCCATTTCTTAGCCCCAGTCCCAAACCAAACCTGGCTTCGGCTCCCCTCCCTTCCCCCCAAATCGGCCCCTCCGGTCCCCTATGCCCCGCCCCCATCTTAGTCCCTTACCTTGCACTGCTGCTCAGCTCACCCGCCTCTCCCTGCCCCTGCACCTCAGCTCACCCCCACCTCCTTTCATTCCCCTGCCCCTTAGTGACACTGATTTTGGCCACCCAAGCACAAACCTCCCCTGTGTGCATTCAGGCAGCCTGGGGCGGGAGGAAGCAGAGCCCCCTGGCCCAGGAGGCCACCTCCTCCCGCAGTTGCTGGTGAGCAAGCCGCTTTCCGGAAGGGAATCACTTCCCGACCTCCGTCTGCCTCCCCCCACGTGTAACTCTTCCTTCAGAGGCCGGGGGCCTGGAACCGCCCCCACCCCGCCTCAGCTGTCTCCCTTGGGAGACTCAGGGATGGTCTCGGCCCGAGGCTCGCCACCCTGGGCCTTCCTGTGTCTAGGTGATGAGCACTGAGGAGCCCGGACCCAGGCGGATGGCAACGCCCCCAGTGTGGACTGTGGGTGGGGGCACAGATGGGGCCGCCAGGCTGCCCTGGGCGGGCAGGGGCTTGAGTGGCCTTTGCCTGCTCGCAGATGGGGCTGAGGGCTGGGAGACTTCACAGAGGCCTGGCAGCTCCAGGAGGGGGAAGGAGAGCACTGAGTGTGTGTGTGTGTGTGTGTGCATCTGGCTGTTTAGGTGAGTGTGTGTGAGAGAGGAGATGATGATGACTACTTTGAGAGGCAGAGAGACAGAGTTCCTGTGTGTTGGTTCACTCCCCAAATGCCCACAACAGCTGGGGCCAGGCTAGGCCAGAGCTGCGAGCCTGGGGCTCATCTGGGTTTTCCATGTGGGCGGCAGGGGCCCAGTTTCTTGAGCCATCACCTCAAAGGGGGTACATTAGACGGAGCTGGAGTTGGGGCGCAACCCCAGAGCGTCACGTGGGACACGGCGTCCCAACAGGTGGCTTAATCCGCCCCAGGGTCCAGATTTCGTTACTCACCTTGGGGAAAATCTTACTCTTGCGGCCGCTCAGGCCTGCACTGTCCTGCTTTGTAAACTAGGATAACGACCTAGACAACAGCTGTGCCTGGAAACTAGGGCCCCTCACCGCCGATGGGGAAAGCACACCCTGCCTTTAACCTTCCATAGCTCCCAGTTGCCCCAAAAATGCAGATGAGCACTCAGGCCCCTGCGTAGAACCCCCTGTGCAGTGGGGGGATTCTAGGAACCTGTGTTCAGATTTGCTTGCCCGCAACCTCTGTTCCCTTGCGGGGGCGGGATCCACCGCAGGGAGAGAAGGCCAGATTGTCAGAGAAGTGGAGCAGGCAGAGTGGACGTCTGTCGTGTGCCACCTTCACCACCCTCTGCCTCCAGGAAGCCTTCTCTGATTGCTCTAGCCACACTCTTGGATCCCTGCTTGGACCTCCTGCAGTGGCTTTGGGTGCCCACCCGAGCCAGATCTGCTCCCTCACAGTGGGCTGCTGGGCCCCCACACCATCAGCAGACTCATGGGACCCCTGCTGCTCCCTAGGGGCAAAAGGAGAGCCTGGTGGAAAAGACCATCAGGGTTTTTTTTTCTTTTCTTGTCTTGTCTTCAATGACATTTATGGGGCTTCTTGGTCCTGTATCAAACTATTATGTGCTTGTTACAGAGACTGACAAACATGATAAACACGGAAAAGCCATCACCCATAGTTCTCCATTCTACTAATGTATGGGTGTGTTCCCTTACCCAGAGGAACCCCCGGGAGGTCTACAGATAATTTCGCAGCCCTCTGAAATGTGGTACAACTTTACTGCAAGATCACACACACTCCTTGCAGGCATTTAACAGCTGCTGCACTGGAGGATCCGCGCTAAGTACTAAGAAGACACCTGTATGTAGGGCCACAAAGACACAGAAGCCACACATACCCATCGCCTGACTGTGCAAACCTCGCACCCCTCCCACCATCCCACTCCACGCCCAGGGTACATTCTGTTCCCCCATGCAGACTCGTACATGCACAATGCACTTCTTTGCACCCACATCTGCCACCTGGCACACACATTGATACACCTGTGTTCATACATCAACCCCCCTCCCCCAACCCCCCCACACAGCCAAACTGGGTAAAGAAATGCAGGTGAGGCTGCCGGAGGTCTGGCTCATTTCGCGAGTGCTGCTGCCACCTACTGGTCACATTTTGCATCAGCACCTCGTTGATTTTCTGCTTCATTCCGCTCCCCAGGTTGCTTCCACCTGCCGGCTCCCTCCTCATCCCGGGAAGCTGGGCCTTGGAACTGGTTCCAGAAAGAGGGACGTAAATGAGGGCGCCAGAGTGGAGTGGGGAGACCATCACTGGCTGACCGTCCATTATGTGTTAGGCGCTGCTGACTTTAGTAGCTGTTGCCTCATTTATTTTCCCAATCCTATGTGCCCTGGACCCTGACTGGCACATCGACAGTCCTAATGGCCATTTAAATTAGATGAATTAAAACACTTTAGAGTGAGCATAGATCATCAGCAGCATCAAGGGGTTCAACGACCACAGTTGGAAAATATCTTCTGAAATGTGCTGTTGCTGCTGACGTGTACTGTGTGTAGGGGCTGGCGCTGTGGTGTAGTGGGTTAAAGCCTCCGCCTGTGGCACCAGCATCCCATATGGGCACTGGTTCAAGTCCCGGCTGCTCCACTTCCAATCCTACTCTCTGCTATGGCCTGGAAAAGCAGCAGAGGAAGGTCCATGTCCTTGAGCCCCTGAACCCTCATGGGAGACCTGGAAGAAGCTTCTGGCTCCTGGCTTGGATCGGCTCAGCTCTGGCCATTGTGGCTATTTGGGGAGTGAACCAGTGGATAGAATACCTCTCCTCTCTCTCTCTGCCTTTCTGTAACTCTGCTTTTCAAATAATTAAATAAATCTTAAATAAATATACAGGAGAATTTGCAGAGATTATATGAAAATATATTTTTTATACCATGAGCTTGAGCATCCTTGGATTTTTGGTACCCACAGTGTAACCGAGAGGGCAAGGGGGACACAGGGACGGGGAGGGAATCTGAATCAGATCCCCAACTTGAACTTGTTCTTCACAAGCTATTGCAGGAAAGCTATGCAGCGTGGCAGTCGGAGGGAGCCAGACCAGCAGTGGGCTAAGGCAGGCCGCAGGGTCTGAGTCAGAGCCCTAAGCACGCCGCCTGTGAAGGTGTGGGAGCAGGAAGCGTCTCCCGGTCTCCATTTCCTACGTCTTGGACACTCCCCTAGCCCTTGCTATAAAAACCCTGCAAACTGCTTCTCAGAGAGGCAGTTTTTTAAAAATACTTTTAAAAGATGATTTGTTTGTTTAAAAGGCAGAGTTATAGAAATAAAGGGAGAGACACACAGAAATCTCCCCTCTGTAGGTTCACTCCCAGAACGCCCACAACAGTCAAGGGAGACCCAGACTGAAGCCAGGAAGCCTGGAACTCAATCTGGGTCTCCCACACGGGCGCAAGGGTCCAAGCACTTGGGGCATCTTCTGTGTTCTCCCGGGCACATTAGCAGGGAGCTGGACCAGAAGTGGAGCAGCCGGGACGGGAACCAGCGTTCTTATGGGATGCTGGCATCACAGGGGGCTGGCAGCTTAACCGGCTGCACCCTGACGCCGGCTCCGAGACGCAGCTTCTTCAGGGAACTCTCAGGGAGCTCTGCGGAGCCCTTCCCACTGCTGCCTGTATCTGTAAGTCAGTGCAGGCTTCCTCCCAGCAGCCCCCGCCCGGCGCTGATTCCAGGTGGGCGGATCCCGTGTGTCTGCTGACCTCGAGACCCACACCCCACGGCACTGAGAGCCACTGTTTCTGACAGTTGAGGAGATGGAAGTTCACAGAGGGGAAGTGACTTGCTCAAGTTATACAACACCTTCCTGTGACACAACTCCGCTCAGAAGAGAAAGACAAGGAAGAGGGAGCAAAGGTGAGAAGTTTTTTTTTTTTTTTTAATAAAGATTTATTTATTTTTATTTATTTATTTTTTGACAGGCAGAGTGGACAGTGAGAGAGAGAGAGACAGAGAGAAAGGTCTTCCTTTGCCATTGATTCACCCTCCAATGGCCGCTGTGGCCGGCGCGCTGTGGCCGGCGCACCACGCTGATCCGATGGCAGGAGCCAGGTACTTATCCTGGTCTCCCATGGGGTGCAGGGCCCAAGCACTTGGGCCATCCTCCACTGCACTCCCTGGCCACAGCAGAGAGCTGGCCTGGAAGAGGGGCAACCGGGACAGAATCCGGCACCCCAAAGATTTATTTTTTTTAAGTGAGAGTTACGGGGAGAGAGAGAGAGAGAGAGAGAGAGAGAGAGAGAGAGAGAATCTCTTCCCTCTGCTGCTTCACTCCCCAGGTGGCTGTAACAGCCAGGGCTGGGCAAGGCTGAAGCCAGGAGCCAGGAGCTTCTTCGGGGTCTCCCAAGCAGGTGGCAGGGGCCCAAACACATGGGCCATCTTCCGCTGCTTTCCCAGGCTATTAGCAAGGAGTTGGATAGGAAGTGCAACAGCCGGGACTCGAACCAGTGCCTATATGGGATGCAGGCGTCACAGGTGGTAGCTTCACCTGCGACCCCACGACTTTGGCCCCAAAGGTGAGAATTGTGCTGCGATCTACAGGAAGCCCAGTGCAGCTCTCCAGGCTCAGAGGATCAGGGAAACCCTTAGCAGCGGGTGAGGGCCACCTGGAGAGACGATTCCCCCATCCGGGAAGGACCCCTACCCCGAGCTGCTGCCTTAAATCCATT